GCATGGTGCAATAATAAACTAGAGAGAATACTCTGGGCAGCTAATATAAATTTTAATACAAGACCATTGCAGTACTTCAGTTACATACTCTAATGTTATAAGGTGATGCCCTCCTCCACAAATTTATGTTCACATTCAAGACAAAGATCCTTTCAGATGACCATCCATAATCTGGATATGTTCATGTCAAGGAAAAAAAACAGCTACCTACAGTTTTCTTATCTGTTCTTGTCTTCTTTTTCTGCCTGTGTGTGTTTTGCATGCATGTGTAGGAGGGCAAGTTCATCCACATAGGCCCATGTGGAGGCCGGAGATTGTCATGAGAATGTCTTTCTCAACCTTTCTGCACATTATTTGAGGATTCAAATGACTGGAGCCATTCCTAATATGCCCTCTCAGCCTCATGGGTGTGGATCCAGATGTGAGCTCTCAGCTGTCCCTTCCGTTCAGTAGTTCTAAACCATCTACCCAGAGGGCCTGGGCAGTAAGTATTTTACACTCTTTTCTACATTTATAACTTTCAATTCCCCTGCCTCCGCCACCTGAGTGCTGGATGGATGGATGGATGGATAGATGGGTGGATGGATGGATAGATAGATAGATAGATAGATAGATAGATAGATAGATAGATAGATACTGATTGATTATTGATTTCTGGCCTACAAGGAGAATTTCCTGCCAGCTTATGGTATTGAGACCCTATCTAAAAAAACAACAACAACAAAAGTTTAATTCTCCTAACAATTAGTGACTACTGTCAGACATGATAGAACCTACAATTGCAGCACTTCAGAGATGGAGGGACACTAGAAAGCTCAAAGCTAACCTACATGTTCTATGTGGTGGCGCACAACTGTAATCTCAGCATTTGGGAAGTGGCGGCAGGTGAAAAGGGAATTCAAGGCCATCCTTAGTTATCAAGTTCTAGGCCATCCTCAGCTACAGGAGACTCAGTCCTACCAGCCTGAGCTACACAGAGACTGTTTCAATAAACAAAAAACAGTTCGTGGACCTACAGCAGATCACAACGCCTTTCTGGACTATCACTTCACTTCGGGGGGTGGTTATTATAGCAGATCATGCTATCCTTCTGGAATATCACTTCGGTGTGGGGTGTCCACAACTTAGCCTGTAAAGACTTAAAAACACATTACAGACACAAAAGAGAAAATTCTGATGACTTAAAACAGTGAGTTTTAAAATTTTTCATTATTGAAAACCTCCTAATCTGTGGCTAATTTTTAATGTCATTTTCGGAAAGCAGGTAAGAAGGAAGTAACCCTGCCTTGAAGTTGATTAACTGTTAACAGGTATGCCAGATGTTAAAAGGTGAGTAAGCAACTAAGCCTGGTGAAGCACACTTATAACCTCTGTACTAGGCAGGCTAAGGCAGAAGACGCCAGCCTCGTATACACAGCAAGATTCTGTCTCAAAACAAAACGGACAAGCATACATTCAACCCTAGATTACTAGCACAAAGGATCAGCCCAACAATAAAGCTTCAAGGAAAAACTGACAAGTCATAACATCTCATTTTTCCATACCAAAAAATGGACTACTATTTCATTCATTCTAATTACATTTCTAACAATATTTCTGGCAAAGCAAATTATTATACCTGCTTACTGATGTTGTTAAGAGCAAAAAAATGTCAGTCTTAGCTAAAGAAAAAAAACTCATGGACTCTGATAAACTTTTCTAAAATACGTATAATAGCACACTTACGTTAAAACCTGTATGAAGAGCCACTGAGAAAATTCAGCAAGCAAAAGCACTTGCTGTGTAAGCCTGATGACATGAGTTCAATTCCAAGAACCCATGACAGAAGGGAGAGAACTGCCAAAAACTGTTCTCTGGCCTCCATGCACACCTGCATTCAAATGTACATGTGCACAAACTGCACATACAAAGCCACACACACAGTAATAAGTTTTAAATTTTAAATCTACACATAAACTCAAGAGTTTGTGTGTATATGTGTGTGTGTGTGAAGATGCTGGAAGAGGTCAGAAGGCACCAGATCCCTGGAGCTGGAGTTATATGCAGTCATTGAGCCGCCCAGAACGGTTTTAGTAACCGCACTATGCAAGAGAAGCAAGCCCTCAACTGCTCAGCCACCTCCCAGTCCCACACCAGACCTTTAGCGGATGTAGACGCTAAACATTCAATAAACTCAAGACGGGGGTGGGAGGGTTCCAGTTTTTGTTTTTTGTTTTGTTTTTGTTTGTTTGTTTTGTTTGAGACAACCCTTGCTACCCAGCCCTTGTTGGTCTGATACTCACTATGTAGCCCCAGGCTAACCGCAGCACTCCATCTGCCTCAGCTTCCCAGGCCTGGGACTGCAGGCATGCACCAGCCAAAGGATAGTGAGATACACTAGTTCCATGACCTAGATTATTTTTCACAATAATGCCAAATGTGTCCTTGCTTTGTAGACCAGGCTGGCCTCAAACTCAGTATCTAAGCCTCACGTGTTTGTTTGTCTATTTTTAGAACACTACAGGAGGTTAAAGGCAGGGCGTCTGGCACACTAAGCAAGTGCCTAGCCAGCTAGTAACACTTTTGTCTCCTTATGTACAAGCAAAAATATCTTCACATTACTAATCCCAGGCACCCCCAGGTGAGCCAGGTTATTCTTCATGATTACTACTGTTAAATGGAAATATTAACTAAATCCAAAAGTTCCTTCTTGTACATGTCTAGCTTGTATGCGGCCTTCAATTTAATCCCTGGGAACACCTACCCCCTCAAAATTAAAAAGGATTTTCTTTACCTTTATTTCTTCTAGTATTTATTAACTCTTTTCATACTAGTCTCCAGCTACCATATTCACATCCTATGCATCAGCTTATAACTTTCAACCTTGCTAATAACATTATTATCATCCCAGTTGCCCATCTTCTTTTTTCGTTTTTTGAGACAGGGTTTCTGTATGTAGCCTTGGCTCTCCTGGACTTGCTTTGTAGACAAGGCTGGCCTTGAATTCACAGTGATCCGCCTGCCTCTCTAGCTCTGAGTGCTGCACATTTTTCTTTAATAAGAAAAATAATATTGATGAAAGCAGGTAAGATCTGGCTTGAAAGCAGGCTGGCCCTGAACTCAAAGTGATGCAGCTGGCTCTACCTTCCAGGTGCTGATAATTAAAGTTGTGCACTCTCAGCCCACCCTGAATTCATAAAATATGCAAGGATGCTCCTAACGATTGCTCTTCCTGAGGACCTGGGTTCAGTTACCAGCACCCACTTGGCAGCTCACAACTGTCTAGAGACCGGATGCCCTCCTTCTTGCCTCTACAGCATCAGGTATACATATGGTGCACAGACATACGTGTAGCAAAACATCCACACACATAAAAATAAATTTTAGTTGGTTTTAAAAATTAAAAAAAGGAAAAGGGAAACAACTCCCATTTATTCAGAAGTCCAAATGCAAAACTCAACACAACTCATCGAACAGCTCCGCAATCTCTGGGATTACCTCTTTCCATGCTACCATCTATCAGCACTTCCTTTAAAACTCCCTATCCCGTGACTAGTCTACACTTCTTCCCTTTCCCCGAGCTATGTGGAGTGGGACGCTGTTTATCCTTTACTTTGCTTTTATACGTATCACGGTGAATTTCTAGAGTGCTACCTCTCCCCCAGTCTCTGCTAACCAGTCCTTCCTGTAGAAGTCATACCTACACCACCAGCCTCTCGGGGCTTAAGATAACTTCTGATTTCCCCCTTCTCTATTCTGCCCTCCTGTAGGACAGCACTCTCAAAAATGGTCAACGATACTACTGAAGGACAAGAGAATCCACTTGGCTTCAGGAGGAAAAAATAATACTCATTCATTCTTTTTCTTTCTTTCTTATTCCCCCCCACACACACACTGCTGTGGCTTGAACTCAGGCCTCAGTCACAATATGTGCACTCTGTCACCGGCTTACAGTGCTCTATGCTTAATTTTCCCACTGCACCTTTTCTTATACTCTATGTCTGTTTATTAATTACATTATTAGAACAGTAGTTCCTGTATATATAATTAGTAAAGACACACCAATTAATAAAGTATGTGCTCAAAATTTGCATTTGTCAAGAGTGTAGGTAGGCACTTGCCTCAAAGCCTGAGGATGAGTTCAATTATCTGGGACCCACATGGTGGAACGAGAGAAGTGATTTCCCCAAGTTATCTTTCGACCTCTGCATGCATGTGCGTGCGCGCGCGCGCGCGCACACACACACACACACACACAATAAATGTAATTTTAAATAGTTTTAAAACAGCTCTTCTGAAAAACATATGAGACCGAGTAAGCCCCAAGCTACGAGGAGCACCCACGCATACACGTACACACAAATGCGGCTCAAAGAAAAACTGATGTTTTACCCACATGGAAGCCCTAACCATGCCCACCCATCGACAGCCCCGCCAGCCATCTCAGAATCCTGTGTCTTCCTCGGATACGCAGAACAGAGTGGTGTGGCAAAGCCCTTCATTTTTAGTTTGGAGAAAATACACCGTTGAAAGTAAGGGGATACTAAAAAGGGCTCACATTCACCATTTCGACACTGCTCGCTGCCTGATTAATAAAACACATACCCAATATGCCACAGCCTCTTAAGACTCGGTACCTATTTCCCAATTCCTCGGGGCACGACTCGTTTATCCTCCCACCTCCTGAACCTGAGCACATACCTGCCTTCATCCTCCCCTCTCCAGGGACAGCATCCACTGCTCCCCAGTCGCTCCGTCCCGTCCCAGGACAGCAGACGGTCCAGCCCGGGTCCCCGAGACCCCCCGCTCGCTCTCTCCGCCGCCGCCCCCAGACGCTGCCAGCCAGGCTGGAGAGTCGAGCCGGGCGGGGGGAGGGGTGTGCCTCGCCTCCCGTGACTGGCCCAGATGGCAGCCGATTCCGCCCCCACTCGCGGGCACCCCTCCAGCCCTCGCCCCTCGCCCCGACCCCACCCCACCCCCGGCCCTCCCCCACGCCCTCCGCCGGCTCCGGACACACTCACCGTGCTGGGCGAAGACATTGAAGCCGGTGTCCGCGGTACGCCCCGCCGGGTCCCGCCTGCGGCCCGAGGGCCTGGCTGCGCTGCTGCCCCGGATCCCGCGCGGCTGCGGCTGCTGGAGCCCCGGAGCCTCCCCGACGCGGCCCACCTGCTGCCCCATCCCGCCGCTCGCGTACTCCCGCGCCCCCGCCGACCCCTGCTCACATTCCTCCTCTGCTCCGGCCTCGGAGCTCCGGGAGCCGCTCCGGCCTTGCCGACCCAAGCGCAGGCCCCCCGGGCCCGAGTCACGGGCGGCTCCGCACGCGGACTCCTCACAGCCACCGCCGCGCTGCCTCCCAGCGACTCACAGACTCTCCTTCTCCCTCCCCCTCCGGCGGCTCCGCGCCCCAGCCGCCGCCGCCATCTTTAAACCACCGAGCACACAGCGAGCGTGGGACAGAGCGTCTCCCGAGCCCCCCCTTCTCGCCCAGGCACCTCCGCTACTCGGAGGGCGGGGCTTCGAGTGGCCCCGCCCCGCGCCGCGCCCCGCTGGGTGGAGGCCGGGGCCCACCGGTCCACCGAAGCATTCGGGCACCTTCGAGGGCTTCGCCGCGATCGGCCTCCGGGTCCGAACCTGCCGCTTTCACCTACGTTCGGCTCCACACTCTACCTCCCTTGGGGGAGTGTGGGCGCCCAGCCTTTCCTGTTCCACCTCCACCTGTCAAGTCAGAGGAGGCTGAGAACCCATGTGCACAGCTCAGCAGCAAACAGCAGAGGCTCCAGAATCCCTGTGCTTCGCTGCCTTTCAGCTGAGGAGCCCTTCACACACACTTAGCGGCAGGCCTAGAAGTGAGGTTTGAAATGGTACAAAATGAACGGGGAGGTGGCAAAGTGTGGGGCTAGCTTCATTTTAATTTGGGGAATTATTTCTTGACGTTAAGTTGCATTTGCCTAGGTTGTGTCTTATGGCAAAGCAGTTGTAGCCCAATTCCTCATACTACCATAGATTTCTCCTGAACTCTTCCACCGTCCACCTAACCACATGTGTTTCTGTTTGCTTTTAAACCCCTGACAGTAAAGCTAATCTTCCCACAGATACGTTCCTCGCCGTGCATGAGGTCAGGCCCTCCTTTGTTGACAAAAAGAAATCACTTTGACCTTGTTTCTGAGTCAGAACTTACTCATCTTTAGCGTCTGTTGTCTAAATAGAGACACGGGCAGAAGAGAAGTGATTTTTATAGACTTACACCCTGTGTGCAGAAGAGAAGTGATTTTTATAGACTTACACTCTGTGTGCAATCGTCTGGCCATCCCACCCCACTATGTGCTCTTTCATCTTAATGTTGAGCCATTTGTTCTTTCTAATTCTCAAAGACTTGATGCTTCTTTCCGGCTATTCCTTTGACTCCCTTGTTAGTTTTGTTCTTAAAGGTATCAGTTACTGACATACCTCTTGAAATTTTGCTTTTGAATGAGGACTGAGCCGTTCCGTACAATGAGAAAAGCAACCACAAGGAAGAGACGAGTTGCCAAAATCCATGTAGTTTGCTCTCATGTGCCTTTTGTAGAACCGTGCAAGATGACAAATGCGTGTTGATGAGACTCAAACTCAGGCCTTGAGTTCCAGGCCAGTGCTCTAGCGCTGAGCCACATAACCAGCCCACAGCTGATTATGATAGACGAATTCATTGTTAGATGACTATATAACAATGTGGCTGGCCAAAGAGGGTTAATGTCAAAAGCATGTGCACTTCAAGCCTGACCTCCTCAACTCAGAGCCCCAGAAAAGCCAGGTGCCCCAGCCCAGGCTCTGTGATCCCAGCTGGTCTACAGGAAGGTGGGAGGCAGAGATGAGAGACTGTCTAGAAGCCAGCGAGCCAAGAGGCCTGGCTTGTCTGTGCAGTGACAAAGGGACCCAGTCTTAAACACAGTGCAAAGGTGAGAACTGACAGTGAAAGTTGCCCTGTTACCAGTTCACAGGCACACACACACATGCACACACACAAAGAACACTATTAAATTATTCATTGCTAGGCTGGGCATGATGGTGCAAGCCTTTAACACCAGCACTCAGGCAGGCATATCTCTGTGAGTTCAAGGCCAGCCTGGTCTATAAAGCAAACCCAAGACATGCAGGGCTGTTACACAGAGAAACCCTGCCTCAGACAAATAAAAATGACAACACGCCTCCACGCTGTGGTGTGTACTTGTGTTCCCATGTTGTGTTCCCAACTGCTAGGGAAGCTGAAGCAGGGAAGTGGCCATAAATTTGAGTGACACCAGCTTGTGTTGCGCAGCAAGATGTTGCCCCCAAGTACTATTTCTTTAAGTCACAAAATAGTTACAGCTACTGAAAAAATTAATCCACAAAACATAAAGAGATTATAGAAGTAGAATTTGTTTTTATTGTTTGGCTTTTATTTACCCGGGGAATTTCAATTTGGTGACAACAGTTTGGTTTCTCTGCTAATTTGTGAATGATGGACAGTAATTGCTGTGTAGAACAATGCTGTGGTTGAGGGCAGGGACTCTGAAATTAGAAGGCTTAGACTCAAAACTTGGCTCTAGCAGTACAGGGGGTATGCCTTTATGCCTGTACCCAGAAACTCTGGAAGCTGAGACCAGAAATCAAGCTATCCCAGGCTAGATAGTGAAACCTTTTGTAAAAAGAAGCAACAAAGAAAAAAAGAAAAAGAAAAAAGGAGAAGAAGCAGCAGCCAGGTGTGGTGGCGCACACCTGTGATCCCAGCACTCAAGAGAGGCAGAGGCAGGCAGATTGCTGTGAGTTCGAGGCCAGCCTGGTCTACAGGATGAGTGAGTCCAAAACAGCCAAGGCCACACCGAGAAACCCTGTCTAGAAAAAGAAAAAAAAATAGAAGGAGAAAAGAAAGAAAAAAATGGAAGTGATGGTGGAGGGAATGCAGGAGAGAGGACTAGAGGAAAAGAAAAGGGTACTTGGTGTTAAAAAAAAAAAAAAGGCTTCCCAGGTGTGGTGGTACAGCACTCAAGCAGAGGCAGGCAGAACTCTATAAGTTCAAGGCCAGCCTGGTCTACACAGTGAGTTCTGAAATAGCCAGAGCTATATAGAAAGACCCTGTCGTAAAAACAACAAACAAACAAGTAAGCCAGGCAAGGTGGCGCACATCTTTGATCCCAGCACTCAGGAAAGCAGAGGCAGGCCCATTTCTATGATGTCAAAGCCAGCCTGGTCTACAAATGAGAGTCCAGACCAGTCAAGGCTACACAGAGAAATCCTGTCTCGAAAAACCAAACAAACAAACAAAAGTCTCATGTAAATAATACTCTTAGCTCCCCCCCCAAAAAAAAAAAAATGAGGTAGAATAAGATTTAGAAGTCTAAGGCCAACCTTGTCTCACACAAACAAAAATAATAATGCAAAAGCAACAACAATATAATGTTTTGAGTTTGTTTACATATAGATTCTCCAAACACTAATTCTGGGGTTTTTTTTTTTTCTTTTTGGTTATTTTTAATATAATTTCTGTTACTTGAGAATTTCGTATGTATGTGCAATGTATTTTGATCATATCTTCCCACTTCTGTCCTGTTTATCTCCCCTGCCCCTGAGCATGGACAACCAACCGACCAGCGGGAATATCCCAAAGAAAAACTACTTTCCCTCCCCAGCAGCTACCAGCTATTAATCACTTTTCAGCTAGAAGTGGGGCCTTATGAGCTCCTCCTCTCTCCATGATGGAATTTTGGCTGACTTGATCTTTTGCAGGACTTGTGGAGATAAGTAAAGCTGCTATGAGTTTATAAGTGCAATGGCCATGTCATGTCCAGATATGATCAAGATTAAGAGCAGCCCAAATCTGTGGGGAGAAATATAAATATTTAGAAGGTAATTTGACAACTTAACCATCTAGCAAAGCAATAGTAATTCCCCACTAGGGCCTGTGAACTTCTCAGCCATGGGCTTTGGCAAGATTAACAGTACCAGGCATAAATTCCCTCCTGTGGAACAGGGCTCAAATCCAATTTTTTTCAAAGATCACTTGGCTTGGGAGAAGAAACTATATTTACGATATAATATATGAGAGAAGGATACATTTTTTTTTTAAATCATTTGACCCCATAAAAGTTACACTACTATTGCTGCAGTGGGTACATATTGCCTGGTAAGTCAGTGGTGTAGCATTCAGGGTCCGGCACTGGGTAAGACAACTGACATCTTGTCAGTGGCCTACGTTAGCAAATTTTGGTACTATGAAAGCTAGCCTGCAGGGAGGAAGATTCACAATCAATTCCAGATTGAATTCTCTGCGTCCTACAACCAAAGTACACAGTGTCTTCAGCAATAGGATCAGGGGTGGGCAATAAAGAGAAATAGAAGCTGGCGAGGTGGCCAAGCAGTGAAAGGCACCTGCTACCAAGTTCAATAGTCTGAATTTGATCCCTGGTACTCACGGGAAGAAAGACAGTTGCTCTCAACTTGTTCTCTGACCTCTACCTGTGCCATGACTTGTTCACACCAAAATAAATAAATAAATAAATAAATAAATAAATAAATAAATAAATAAATAAATAAATAAATA